CTACTACTACTACTACTACTACTACTACTACTACTACTACTACTACTACCACGACGACGGCGACGACTACTGGTACTACTACTACTACTACTACTACTCCTGCTGCTGCTGCTGCTGCTACTACTACTACTACTCCTCCTACACTCGGCACGGTCATTTGTAGGGGTTTACGGCTTGTGTTGTGGAGTTTGTCTCGTTTGGTTGTTTGCCTTATTGTCTAAACCCTACGCCCCAAAACCCGGGGTTTCGAGTATCTGATGTTGCATCAGGCACGGGTTGGAGGATGCTTGTGGCTGTGGGTTGGAGCATGGTTTTGAGTGCACCGTTAATGTGCGACTGTCTTTAGTGTCATGAGCTTCTTTGATGCGATATTTTGCTTATTCAGCCGCTGTAACAGTTTTGCCGACATCTATGACTTCTTTTGGGTGCCGGAAGTTTTTTTGGGTTTGCCTCGGCCCTTTTTGCAAATGGTCAGTTTTAATTGAGTAGAGGATCAGGAGCCTAAAGCTTGCTAAACAGCTCTCGGTACTCCTAAACCCCCGTATTGTACTACTACCGTACTGCTATACTGTGCTACTACTGTACGACTACTGTACAATTACTGTACTACTACTGCATTATTGTACTGATGTACTACCACTGACTACTACTCTACTTCTGTACTACTACTGCATTACTACTGTACTACTACTGTACTTCTACTATCACTGCATTACTGCTGCACTGCTACTGTGCTACTACTGTACTACTTCTGTACTACTACAATTGTACTATTGTACTACTACTGTACTACTGTACTGCTGTACCACGATTGTGTACTACGAATGTAGTACTACTTACCAACTGCACCTCCTTCTAAAGAGCCTATCTCCCAGCCCAACCCCCGCACCCTCCTCCAGCCCAACCAACAACGTGGGCATCCGCGGAGGCCCAAACACCTCGGATCCCCCAAAGCCCTTGAAACCAACCCGTTCCCTGAATAGCTATCATTGAAATCGGAAACCCAGAACAGCGATGCAGAAACCTAAACCCCGGCATTGAATCCGTAAGTGGGGAGAGCCCTTACACGAGCCTTTGCAAGATCCCTTAAGGGAGCCCCTACAGGATCCCTTCAAGGAACCCTTAGTACAGGAGCCTGTAAGGGCGGCCGAATATCTTGAGAGATTGCCTCAGAAGATCCGCACGCAGAGGTGCCTTTGGAGCCCATACCAACATTCCGCTTCTCTACCGGGAGGTGGGCGGGCTTTTGGATTCAGGGCTAAGGGTTTACGGTTAAAGGTTTCGGATTCAGGGTTTAGGGTGGGTTGAGGGTTTGAGGTGCAGGGTTTCGGGGGGCTAAGGGTTTACGGTTCAGAGTTTAGGATTCAGGGTTTGGGGTTAAAACTTTAAGGTGCAGGGTTTCGGGTTAAGGGCTTTCGGTTTAGGCGGTTAGGCGCCTCAAGTATTATACTCTACAGGCTCCTTGGGGCTGTTCTTCGGCTCGGTGTTCTGAAGTTTGGTGCCACGTCTGAGTCTAAGGAGAAGTGAAGGTTCACGCTGCCAGGTGCCTAGGGCTGCGCTTGAGGAAGCTTTATGTGCTACGCTGCGTGTAAAGCTGCCCTAAACTCATGGGGACCCTTAGGGGGGTAGGGAGGACGGGGGTAGGGGGGCTTAATGCCTATAATAAGGACTGAATAAGGGCCTCTTTAATTAAGGAAGTATAGTCCCCTACCCCCCTCCCCGCTACCCCCTACGCCCCTAAGGGTCCTTATGGTAAACTCTAGGCCTAAGCAGAAAGCCCTGCTGCCAGGTGGCGCCTCAAGCTGGTGCTCCGAACTTTGGCGACACACAGGTGCCGCAAACTTGCGTGTGCCGCTGTCTGCTGTGAGAGGCACTCCCAAAATCTTGCGTTCATTATACTACAAATGTAATAAGGAACCCGTCACATAGTATAGGTAATCATTGAGGCGCCTATATTGCCCTATTCCAATTCTCTCTCCGTCGCCCTTTCCCTTTGTCTCTCTTGGTTTTTGTCTGCATGCACTTGACTGCTTGTCACTAGTCTGCTGAATTGACTTGGCACCGGTGCTCCAGGCAGGCCGAGCCGCATTTCGACAGATGATGTCAGCAGCGGACCCCAGATGTTCCGCCTGTTTACGGTTCTGTACCAGGACCCTCCTGTTATCCTCAAACAGGGGTATATGGTCCGAAATAAGGGGCATTTAGGGTCTAATAGAGGGTAGATGGAGGGTCTGGGTAACAAGGATCCAGTGATGCATTGTCACAGTTGAGGATAACAGTCCCGTACCTGGTGTAACATCTCCAAATTGAGACCAACACAGATCATCTGCATGTCTTACCTAAGCCCTGAACTTAATCCCTACACCCTAAACGGTGGCAGATCAATCCGAACGTGGTGAACCTAAGGCCCCGCGAGGTAGCCCCGCTAAGGCAATCGCGGAAATTCTGCCAGATCGCCACGAGTAATAACTGCGTCTTAAAGTTATAGGCCGCCACTGTCTCCTGAAGCACTAGTGTTTTATAGATCCACAAGTTCCAGTCTGATTGTCTGGTGTAGCCTTGATGGTTGTCCTGAGGCATCGAATACGGACGTTGGTTGCTGACGGATTCGAACTTTGGGCCAGGGGAGGAGGAGGGCGCAAAAGATTTCGCCTTCTGTCCGGAGAACTCTCCGCTTCATTGAAGCCCTATAGTACTTCGGTTGATGATATAAATCCTGCATTACCTTAAGGGCCCTAGACTATGGGAATTATTGTATATTCCTTATTATGGGTAGTGCAGGATTTATATCATCAACCGTTACAATCCCGATTACGGCCCAGTTACTGCATCCCGCGGTCTCTCGAACAAACCTTTTTAGACATTACAAAGCCCGTATAGGCGCATCGAGAACCGCCAAAACGCTCATAAAGCCAAGTAAAATGGGACATTACAGTAGAAGCCAGAAAGTTGGAATATCATTATCGTAACCCCTTTAAGGTAAATTATAGGGGATCCTACCATTACAACTTTCTGGAGTTCCCTTTAATGGGGGACTCTAATATAGGACCCGAAATAGTAGGATCCTTATTATAAGGACTCCAAAGTAAGGTACCCCCTATTTTCGGAAACTCCCAAATGGGACAAAACCCATGGAAAGGTCATCGGGTGCTCACTAAGTATCGCCTGCGTCGTCTACGGGTGCCGGGAGCCTGGGTCTGTTTTTCATGAAGACTATCGAGTTCCCTCTTGGGTTCCTTCGTTACGACGAGTTGCGCGGGTTTCAGGGCTTCCGAGTGGGTTTAGTAGTTTAGGTTTAGGGTAGATAGCCAGTGCAAGAGCTTTAAACTTGTTGGCCTTATAAGCTTAGAAATATAGTTGGTCTATCTTCGAAAGTTTGCACTATTTCGCGCCCGGTTATTGCAGGAGGGAGTCATTCATGGGTTCCATAAGATTCGGCGACCGACCGGTTCTGCCGAAGGCCAGGCACACAACGTACAAAGCCCTCCACTTCGGAAGCAAACCTAAAACCCAGAAAGCAAATTCGAAATCTCAAACCCTAAACCCTAACCCTAAACCCTACAACCCCAAACCCCTAAACCCTAAGCCCCATGAGCCTTCAACCCTAAACTCAGAGCCCGATAGTCCCTGCTGCAAGCCCGACCAGCCGAAAGCCTTGAGCTCTTAGCCTGATAAGCCACCCACTTTTCGAGCACGGTTTACGGTTTGCGGGTTTATGGCTTTGCGGTCTGATGTTTAGAGTTTAGGGTTCAGGGTGTCAGGGATTTGATGGCGTAGGGGTTAGGGTTCGCGCTGCAAAACAAGGCCGTGAACACGGCCTTCGTTGCTCGTCGTTGTCGAGTGTTAATGAGTGTTGAAATAAGTGCATCAAGCACAGAAAGCATGCATGTATGTACTATGTATCTATGAATCCTAAACCCTAAGCCCTAAGCTTGTTTGACCTTCATCCCTTCGAAGTTCGTTGGCCACGAATACGCGGTGTTCCACGGCTTGGGGATATGACTTCTTACTCAGGCTCCTGATTCGGCAATACGGTTTACTTTACCACTGAGATATTGCACCCTACAGCCCATCATACAAACCCAGAGGCTGAACGGCTAAATCCTGCAAACCGAGAGACAACATGAACAGAAGGCAACATGCTCGGGATGGGAATTCCTGCTTGTGAGATCGCAGTGGTATTTCGGGCACCTACACCCCGAGCGTGACATGAACGACACGCCCTACACCCTGAATGCCCAAAACCCTGCAGCAATGGAAGCCCGAATGCTCAAGACTGAACCGGGAGCCCTGAACTCTGAACCCTTCCACGCAGCTCCCAACCCTAAATCCTGAACCCTGGAGCACCAACCCTGGATACGGACCCTATGAAAGCATACACCCTGGTGCCTGAGGGGTCGGCATTGTGGTCTATGCTACCTTCGGTCGCAGCCTTACCTCAACGGTTGTTGGATCTCGGGGTTTAGCGTGGTATTTTGGGGTGTATGTTGCCAGTTGTAGTCATGCGAATACCACGAACCGTGCTGAGCATCACCATCCGTTGAGCCCGCAAAAAGGCAAACCTCATCGCTCCTTGCAGTTTTTAGTCTGTTGGGTGGTGCCGGTTGTAGTACTGGGGATGGTGGTGGTGGTCTTGATGGTGGTGGTGGTGGTGGTGGTGCTGGTGGTGACCGTCGTTGTCCTGGTTGTTAATATGACTAGTCATTGGGCAGAAGAGTCCAAGTGCCAGTGTTGCTGCGATCATCCTCAGCAGCCTGGGATTCTGAAAGCGCCTGATAGGTGCTGCTTGAGGGTTCCTTCTTGAGGGTTCCTGGGAGTTTGGCAGTCCGTGAGGAGGTTGCAACCGCTTCGCGGCTTTTGTCGCATGTTTTTGTTTTTGGGGACTCATGGAGTTGAACAGGCATGGACTTACCGAAGACGTTGCCCTCGGCCTTCTCGGCTCGAGCCGTCACGGTCTAGATCGCTGAAGCCCCACAAGCGACTCTACATATCCTGCAGCCATGAGGTCCATGCTTGCAGCCATGATCTTTCTTGCGGTCGCACAGGCATCCGGTGTGATGGATAATGTGCTTGTGGAGAATGATGACTGCCCGGGCTGCGACCCTGAGGGACTGTCTCTACTACAGCTGAAGAACAGCAGGCAAGTGGAGGACGGCACTTCGGTTGCAGAGCGGAACAAGATTGAAACGAACCACACCGTTGAGGCCTCGGGCGACTCAAGCCTAAGCTGTCGTTTCAACTGGAAGAGCAAAGGCTTTACAATCGGATCTTGCCACCTTTGGTGCGGAGGAGCTGCGTGGTGCTACAACGACGGGGGCTGCAATTGTGGCAGGCAGTGTAGTTGGTTGAGCATCAACGGGTACACCTGCCACTACTGAGAAGTAGAGGGCTGTGTCACGGTCGTCCCAAAGTGTTCGATGTATTCAGATAGCTGGAAGCATGCACCCTGTCGAAACAACAAGCCGGCTTGAGTGCTGATATTTGGAAAGTTCGATGGCACAAAAGACTAGCAAGTGGCGGAGACATTCGTTTGGCTGCTTCTTCTTTTTGGAATTTCCATGCCACTACTGCCAGGGCATGGCAAAGCCCCGAACTCAACCGTTCAAGGAGTAAAGTGATGCAATAGAACCTCAAGACCACCAAAACTTTGACCCTAAGCCCTAGCCCTAGATCCAAAGCCTTACACCCTCAAGTGACAGTGAGCAGCCATTGCATCAGAGCAGCCACAGATAAGGAAGCCGGTTTGGAAAGCAGGAAGCCTGGAACACAAACGGTAGACAACCATTCCCCCAACCTCAGCCGCAGAATCAAAAGCCTCCACCGTCAAATCGACACTCTGTCTCAAGCGATGGTTTCGGTGCTCAGAGTTTACTTGGTGGGTGAGCACGCTTTGTAACTAGCGGTAACCAGCATGTGTGTCAAGGTTGTTATAGGTGGGACAACCCCAACTAAAGGTACTCGGTACTCGTATATCCCTATGTGGGTGGTTGTCAAAATTATGGTCCCTTTTTGGGTCAATACAGTACGGCAGCACGGCACCTATTATTTAGGGTACCCCAAAAGGGACCCTAATATAGCCTCTTTACCATGTCCCTTGAACTCGCCAACAAGCCGGGAGAAGCTTACGGGAGTTTCCGAAAATTCGAGGTACCTTTTTGGGGGGTCCTTACAATCAGGATCCTACTATTCAGGGTACTATGTTCTACCTGAAGATTCTTGCAAAATCCTGTCACCTCCTTTCTACGGCAACAGGAATTGGGTTAATCCTAAGCCCTAAAGACACTCAAAACCGAAACCCTAGGTAGGCCCTTGCGACATTTTACATGTTCCCTTATTGGGCTTAAGACGATCTTGTTCACGAATATGTTTTAGAGGCTTTGAGGTGCCAACCTAGAGCCGTACCCTTGGCCGAAGGGTCGTCGACAAAGAGCGACTTCTCTGAGAACTTCCGCGCCGATGACAACTTGCTCGTGCCCTGGGTTTAGGCTTAGGGCCTAGGTTTAGGGTTTAGGCTTTAGCGGTTCAGGTCGTTTTGTCTGCTTTAGTTTTCTGGAGATATTGTCATAAGACTGACGTGGTCTCTGCGCTTGCAAAATATGTCTCAAGTTAAGAGGGCTATAGACACAAGGGAGTTTCCGAAAATGGGGGACTCTAATGTAGTACCCCGAAACAAAGGACCGTAACTTGCGGAAACTCCCATGTAGGTATAGCTGTAGAAAGGCAGTTACGTAATACCTGCGAATGACATACGGCATGTGCAGTTCCAAGTCTTCGGAGGATCGTCATTAACGAAATTGGGTTTGGGGTTTATACAGGGCTTAGGGAGAATACAGGGTTTGGGCTGCAAGGTTTAGTCTTCATTGATTCCATTTACCGGGCATCGGCTGGTTTCGTTAGGACCTGTGGGCTAGGTTGCGCCGGTGTTGAAGCATCGAACCCTCGTATTGCAGGGTTGAGCGCTTCTAGGCACTATTCAGGGTTTTGACGCTTGCGGCTGTGGCGTTTCAGGTAGAGGGGCTTGGGATTGAGTTTTTCTCGGCGAGCCCTTGGAGAAGTCTCCCTGCACCCGAAGTCTGGCATCTTTGGACAGGCAGGTTTCACTGGCTATTGTTTAGGGTTTAGGGTGGCCAGGTCTTAGGGTCTCTAGTGCTTCGAGGATTGAGGAGTTCGCGGCCTAAACACGAAGACCTCGAAAGTCGTAGCTCCGGCAATCCGGTTTGGGGTTTAGGGTTTAGGGTTCAGTGGAGAGAAGACAACATGCGAAGAAGCCATCGAACGTGGTAAGCAGGCAGTACTGCGAGTGACGATGATGTGCGCGCCCTGCGCTCAGATTCTGCACTGTCAGAAGCCCTTTCTCGAACCCTACACCCGAAGCCCTTTGTTCGCAAAGTCCACCCCTTAGACCCCAGGACCTCAATATCACTAAACCCTCAACCCCTAAACCCTAAACCTAAATCCCTAAACCCTAAACCCTAAACCTTAATCCCTAAACCCCAAACCCAAATCCCGAATCTTTCATCCCCAGCCCAACTTAACGTAAAAGTTGAGGGTCTCGTGCGAGGGACGAAGTGGTTTCTGAGCCGAGCATCTTGACCTTGTCTGAGTCTTGTAGGTCAGAAGTCCGGATGTGGGACCCCCTTTACATCCCTGAAAGGGTCGCTTAAAGGAACCCTTATAGATCCCTTATATAAAAGGTCCCGTAAAGGAACCCTTATAGATCCCTTAAAAGGTCCCTTAAAGAAACCCTTATGGATCCTAAACTCTCAAGCCTAAAACCTGAATGAGCAGGAAGGCCGCTATGATCGGATTGCAGAGACGCGACGTTTTGGATTACGGAACTTATTGGCCTGCTGGCACCAAAACCTATCGGCGGCATCCAGTTCGTGGCGTGCGAAGTAGGCCAAACCCCCTAAATGTTCCAAGGATCCACGAGTTGGAGGTTCGGCGTACTTTAGGCATGCTCTTAGGCCAAAACCCTATACCACCAATGTAGGTTGAACGAGGTAAAATGATCTGATGGCATGCATGCTGGGAACCTTTCCTGTGATTTGACCATCCTAATTCTACGAAATCTATCGGTATCCATGAACTGCCGATGATCGCCTTCCGCGAAAATGGGGAACTGATGTACCGATCGGGGAGAAGAAGATGATGACGACGAGAGTGAAGACGAGGAACATTGGTCGTGATGGTGATGACGGACAGAGCACCTTCGACGACAGAACCCGCAGATTGATGACTGACATCGTCACTGCATGAGCTGTCTACTTGTAATCGTTTTCCTGCAAGCAGGCTTTCAGTTTCAGCACTTTGCCTTGAAGTATGCTATGCGGTGTTTGCATAGCCACTGAAATCACGGTGTGTCTTCTTGTTTCTTTTGATGGGCTGCCTTGTTGTAGGGATGTGCTCTGGCAGCAGGATCTGCGGGTCCTACAGCCTCATGCTGATGTCCGCAAGGCCTGCGACGTCAAGGGATGGTAAGTGAGCTTCTGGTTGGTGGGACAATGCGAGCCAGAAGGCTTGGTCGCATAATGTAGACTGGCGTGGACGGTCCTTGGGAAACCCTAAACCCTGAACCCTAAAACCAAAAAGCCCTAGGGCCCGTGAGCCAGGAAGCCTCGCAACTCTAGCGCCAGAAACCCCGGTTCTTGGGTCGACAAGTTCATGGGCCACCGGAGGTCCCTCAGTACCTGAGCTTTAGAGATGTCGGTTCCTTTTTTTTTTTTTTTTTTGGGGGGGGGGGGGGGGGGGTTAGGGCTCTAGACATCTAGCCGGTTTTACGGTCTACGGGTTTGGGGACCCTGGGCCGAGGCTGTTCACATAGCGCAGCAGAGCTTCACGGTAGGCCCTCCATTCCCCAGAGCCTCCAAAGCACCGTAATCAAGGAATATACCTTAAGCCATATTATGGATCCTACTATGCTTTAAGGTATATTCCTCAATTCAGGGGTTTTGGAGGCTCTGGGTAGTCACAGCATGTGTGCACCGACACCCTGTTGAAATTGTTCAGACCCCTTCCTTAACTTTTTAGAATTCCTTACAATCATCCTTAAAGCAACCCTGAAAACAAGCCTTAGAGGGATCTTCTGATGATTCGGGGCCATTGGCTACACCTCGAACAGGTCGGGAGTGTCTCGGACTTACATCCTACACACCAAACCGTAGATCCCAAACCAGAACCCTATACCCCCAGTCCTCAATCGTCAAATCTGAATCCTCAACCCTGAACCCCGCGGTTTAGGGTTTAGGGTTTTGGGGTTTAGAGGCCAAAGCCGAACCACCGATCCGAAAAAACCCTAAGCCCGTAACTAAACTTCAAATCTCGATGGGAAATCTTTGTTTCGAGCCCTAGAGCCCCTCTTATAGGCTTCAAGGATCCCTCCAAAGAGCCCTTAAGACAGCCCTTCTAGGAGTCCATAAAGAGACCCTTATGGATCCCATAAGGAACCCTTGTAGAATCCTTTGAAGAATCCTTGTCGAATCCTAAAAAGAACCCATAGAGGAACCCTTTGAGAATCCTTAAATGGACACCCTAAACCCTGATCCCTAAACCCGAAACCCTAAACCCGAAACTCAAAACCCCAAACCCTAAGTCCCTAAACCCCAAACCCTAAATCCCAAACCCCAAACCCTAAACCCTACACCGAACTTTTGGGCCAGGGCCGCAGCTTTTAACCTTTTCCTGCAGCCCCACGGCCTGGTCCTGGGCCCAGCAGAGCAAGGCCCAGGGCCTTTCGGTCTCTACTTGGAGGTTCAGGGGTAGTTATAAGTGGGGTTATAGGGTTTAGGGTTGCCTTAAGGGTTTTACAGGGGTTATAGGGTTTAGGGTTTAGGGTTTGGTATTTAGGGTTTGGGGTTTATGGTTTAGGTTTTAGGGTTTAGGGTTTAGTTATAACTGGAGTTATAGGGTTTAGGGTAGGGTTTAGGGTTTAGGATTCGTTTAGGATGTAGTTATAAGTGGGGTTATAAGCCCCCTGATGTGGGTACTTATAAGTAACTACCCATGAACCTCCGAGTAGGGCGCCTTCTTTTAAGGGTTCGTAGGAGTACCTGGCTCTTCAACCTAACTACAACAGGGCACTGAAGGATTGGTGTTTTAGAACCTTCACACTTGCAGGTTTTTGGGTTCAGGGCCAAACTCTGAGGGTGTAGCGTATAGAGGCCTGAATGTTTCGTACTTGCCTACCTTTTTAGCCTCCACCCCGCCCTTACCTAACGAAGCCAATCTTCCACCAGGAGGGGAGTTGAGGGTTTTGGGTTTCATAGTGGGATTTGTTTGGTTCAAAAGCTTGTACATATGTACACAAGCATAAAGCATAGAGTGAAGTCTATGGCAGTCACTCGGGCACCCAAAACAGCAGCTTCAAGCAGCTCCAAATTGCCCCTTCAAAGACGCGTGAGCCCGAAAATCTCGGCAAGCTCTCGGCAAGCACAGCTAAACGGACTGGAGTTTAAGCCTAAACCCTAGACCCTAAATCCTTCAGGGTTTCGGGTCGACTGAGGAGATGACACGCCTATGGCGCATCGCCATTTCCACGGCCCTGACGGCCTTTTGCTTAGGCTCGGCTCCTAAGTTGTTGATCCTCCCTGCCCCATAAGCCCTTGGCCTTTCGACATGAGTCGTCTTACAGGGGAGGGGGGGGGGGCATCATGGCAATTGAAAGTTGATGAAAGTTTAATTCAAAAAACGAGCTGGGGGGAGTAATGCAGACTAAAATGTTATATATACTGCAAGTAGCAGTAGCAGTCGTGGACGTAGTCATAGGCGTATAGTTGTAGCGGTAGTAAGGTCATCCGTTAACTGACAATCTTATCACGGACCTATCAAGCCGTCCCACATTTGGCGAAAACTCTATAAACGCTATCGTAGAAGCCAGAAAGTTGGAACATCAATATCCTCATGGCCCTGAAGGTAGAGTATAGGGGGTCCTAGCACCAATCCTCCTATACCCATGTTCCAACTTTCTGGGGTTCACTGTGCACTAAACGGGCTGTAGAGCCGATCGTTGCCTGGTTGCATCCCATACTTAAAGGATCATGTAACTTAATAACTATGGTTGTAATTGGGGTAACTATACTTTTAGCCCAATTAGGGTACTCATAACCCTACTCACTAAGTCCCATGATCCTCCAAGTAGGGGGCTGTTCTAGACTCTGACGGTTGAGGTGGTGGCACCCATCAGAAATCTTGCATATTTGGGACTCCGGGGATCACGGGCATGTCTTGCTATAAGACCTCCGCACATCCTTTCTTACTTCATCTAACAAGCACGAGAATCTGCAGTCTTTTCGAAGTGCTCAAGTCCCCAACCTCTCAAGGACTACTTTTCTCCATTCCGAAACCGGACGGAAGAAGGCGACATCGCAACAAGGAGCTGCTCCCGAACTTATGTCAAATTTCAAGCTCTAAATCCTAAACCCTCAACTCTAAGTCCCCTTGTGCCCTGTGCGCCGGAGGCGTTGCGGTGGCCGCTGACCAAATCAGCACGGTCCTCGCCTACAACGGTTCGGCAACCCCGACCCAGACTTGACGGCTCAGGGTTAGAGGTTTTCTCCTCCAGCTTCCGGACGGGATTTAGACGGGCTTGGCCGTTGGAAGCAGATTTCCGGGATGGTTCAAAGCAAGAGGCATTGATGAGTTCTGCTCTTGGATGAGTCCATTCATGAAGCAAGTGAGACACGTGTACATGACTCTCCTGGGTGCGACAAAGGGCAGCATGTTTCTGTTACATAACCGATGACCATCAATCCATATACCTTCTCTTGAAATTCTATTCTTGATTGCCAGTTTTCCTTCATGTTATGGAGATTGAACCCCGCTGGCGGGCATGCGGCTTCAGGCGAATGCCGAGAGATACGTAGAGAATTCTAAGCAAATCGGTTGGTGTTGTGCCTGCCCCAAGTCCTTTGCCACCCCGGTTTAGGGTTTAGGGTTTAGGGTTTAGGGCTTAGGGTTTAGGGTTTAGGGTTTAGGGTTTAGGGCTTAGGGTTTAGGGTTTAGGGCTTAGGGTTTAGGGTTTAGGGCTTAGGGCTGAGGGTTTAGGGTTCCATGCCTTCGACTTCACTTCCTCAAGCCTTGGGCCGCACGTCTCATCATCTGAGGGGCTTTAGCCGCCCTCAGGTGGAACCGCCGCAAGCCTCTGAGCCAATGAACCCCTAAATCCTACCTTAACCCCGAAGAACCTACATTCAGGACTTGTATAAAGAAATCACAATAAGGAACCCGAAAAAGGTAGGTTAGTCAGGGTGAAGGGAAACCGCAACGCCTAAGCCCTAAATCCCCAAAACGTAAATCCCAAGCCCCGAGGGCTTGCTGGAGTTGTGACTAACATTACAGTCTCTCCTATGGTATCCCGATAGCTGAACCGGGAGGTGTAAGACTGGCATTACTACCAGTTGCATTCCTCAGTTGCATTCCTTTAGTATGCGCGGTAATTCTTTTTACGTTATGGCACGAACAGCCCGAAACCCGTTTTTACACACGCTTGCAACATCGTGATTCAAGGGTGGACAGCAGATCCCTCCCTCCCGAAATTTCACGGCGCGCAGGGATTGTTGCCCTAAGTCCGAACGCCCTGAACCCTAAACCCCAAGCCCGAAACCATCAACCCTAATCAACGCCAAGCCGGAAACCGCAACACTCTGGAGACGATCGCCAAACCCGAAGATCCCGAAGTCTTCCTGCGGCCATACCCCAAAGGATCGGAGGCTTGGTAGCAGGGTACAAATGGGAGTTTCCGAAAATAGGGGACCCTAATATAGTACCTTAAATAGTAGGATCCTTATTATAAAGACCCCTAAATAAGGTACCCCTAATTTTCGGAAACTCCCAAATCATGTTGGAGTTGTTCGGTCTTTAACCGGGGTTGTCTCAAATGTAGCTGTCCTTCAAGTAAACCTGAGTCTGGCCGATTTGAAGACGCAGCTTGCATGGCCCCCAAGCCCTAAGCAAAAACCCACAACCTCTATAAGGCCCATAGATCCGTTTCAGAGAACCTTACCGAGCACATAAAGAACTTAGAAAGGTGCCCTTACCGAACTCCACTACACCCCGCCGTCCGTCGCCGTCAGCAACTCAAGACCACTCGGGGAACTCGTCTGAACCATGGCTTTCACGCAACCTCGTGCCTTGTCTGCCTTGGTCAACTGTGTGGGTTGGCGGGGGGGGGACTTATTTTTTTGGAGGGGGGTGGGTTGGTGTTGAGAGTCTGTATGGAACCCTCGATAGAACCCCATCGAACCCTTCAAGAACCTCCCCATAGAACCCAGAAAGAATCAGCACAGAACCCCCCTCTAAAGGTTTAGGTCGTTGGTTTAGAATTCGGCGCTGGTCTGCACCTGAATGCTGCGGGAACTTGGCAGCGCGTACGTAATGACCTGAGTTCTTATGTGGTGCTTAAAGTTTCTATGGCGAGCCTAAGGATTATATAGGATTCTAGGTGGGTTTACGACCACACAGGGGCTCAGACTTTAGAGTGTTGGTTTTCTCAGAAGATTCAGACAGCGGAGGTCTACCACCTTTGCCAAGGGTGTTCTTCACCCTCGATGACAAGTCGCCTCAATCCCAGAGGCAAGGGGGGGACACTACAAAAGCAGCCAGACCTGGGATTAGGGCTAGGGTTCAGGGACAAGGGCTTTGAGGCTTATAAGCTTCAGGGTTTAGGGCTTAGGGAGGTCTTTATAGCATCAAATGCCTTGAGCAGGCAAGCCCACAATAAACCTAAGATCCCCTAAGCCCTGAAATCTCTAAAAGCCTAGCACCCCCCTAAACCCTAAGCCCCAAACCTTAGTCAGTCCACACTGTGCATGGCCCGCCCCTGGAAGGCCTTTTCTGATCGCACAGTGCAGGACCATTAAACCCTAAACCCTAAACTTTCCTAAACCCTGAACTCTCTAAACCAGCAGCACCAGACGACTAGTTAGGAACCGACTTGGGCAGGCGAACAAAGAAGGCCGTCAACCTAACTTTCAAAAAAGAAACCCCCTAAACCCTAGCATCTCTGGTTCTTCTAAGACTTTCATAGCGACTCTCGAGCCGATCATGATCTCCAGGACCCTCCGCCGCTCCAGTAGCTTCTCCGGATATACTCCCTTCGAGCGCCTTGCCTGCAACGCGGTAGGTTGAGTAGTAGTAATAGTAGCAAACAGTAGTAAATAGTAGTACTCGTAGCCGTAGTAGTAGTAGTCGTCGTCGTAGTAGTAGTAGGTGTCGTTGTTGCTGCTCTTCTTGTTGTTGCTGTGGCTATCAGGACGAACAGTAGAACGCCATCATGAAGGATGTACAGCGTAATTATGATGCAAACAACAGTTTTACTAAGAATATAGTCACAAGCAACATAAATGTCAGATGATCGTGGGCGTAGCAGCCGTAATTCTGAAGCCTGAAGCCCTCGCCCGCATACATGTGGGAGTTTCCGAAAATGGGGGTACCTTATCTTGGGGTCCTTGTAATAAGGATCCTAGTATTCAGGGTACCATATTAGTTAGGGTCCCCTGTTTTTCGGAAACCCCCATGTAAGTTGGTGGAGGAATGACCAAGAACATGAGTCCATCAAGCCAAACGAGCATCGAATGCAGCTTGAAAGGCTAATGTGGATGTAGATGGGAAGAAAGATATTGCGCAACAGGCAGACATGTCCACCGACAGGTAGACATGCACATACAAACATGCATGCGTACGCTTGACATACATTCCTATTTGCAGACATGCATATATAAACACATACCTACAACCGTAAGTACGTGCACAGGTTACTCATTCAGCCATAAAGGCAGTTGCATGGAATCTCACAAGCTTGCATGCATGCCTACATACGTACGTACATACGTAACTACATACGTACATGCATTCGCACATACATGCATACAAACGACCAAACGAATAAGCGTACTTACATACATGCATACGTACATACATACATACATACATACATACTTGCACACATACACACATACATGCATACGCACATGCGCACGTACATGCATGCATACGTCCATGCATGCATCCGCATGTGGGCTTCCTGGCATGTGGGCTCGCGTTCATGCAAACATACACATATGGAGACACACATACTGTTTTGCTTGATTGCATTCGTCCATGTTTGAAATGTAGATTTCTGTAATATGCATCTATACATCAGCATTAGAAACCAATGACATGAACCGGTTTCAACAAAGGGGGTCTCCGAAAAAGCAAGCTGCTGCGACTTCAGTTTCAATTCAGATGAGGCTACGGCTAGATCCACTCGTGCCTCCATAGCCTTTCAGCCGTCATGGATACGGTTGAATTAGGAGCTTTTCCCAATCACATGAATTTCCGTGCAGGTTTGTGCTAGCATGTAGAATGTAGACAGATAGTCCGGTCGGTAGATAGATAGATAGATAGATACATACACGAGATACATTAGAGCCAGAGAGATCGGTAGCCAGCTAGATAAATAGATAGATTGTTAGATACATACTCAGATAGATCGCCAAATAATGCAAGCAAAGCTGTGTGGGACGATTTGGCAGAGCATTATGCGGTATTCAGTATGCTACACTTAGATATAGCGTTAGAGATTCTATCAAGCCACAGAGTGACTAGGCCAAGTTCATCCAAACGCTGGCCCTGCAATATGGCCCAGAGCCTACCCCTAAACCCTAAACCTTCAAATCCTTAAACCCTAAACCCCGAAACCTTAAACCCTACACCTACACCTAAGCCAAGGCTCAGCGATGCCAACTTCGAACTCGACTTGTGCTGCGCTCGGTGTTTGGTAGACCTAGGAGAATGATTGCGAGAGCAGGAATGTATAGAGGGTTTAGGGGAAAGGTCGTGGCAGTGGCAGTAGCAGTAGCAGTAGTAGTAGTAGAAGAAGAAGTAGTAGTAGTAGCAGTAGTAGTAGTAGTAGTAGTAGTAGTCGTAGTAGTCGTAGTAGTAGTGGTAGTGGCAGTGGTAGTCGTGGTAGTGGTAGTGGTAGTCGTGGTAGCAGTAGTAGCAGCAGCAGCAGTAGTAGTTGTAGCAGCAGCAGCAGTAGCAGTAGCAGTAGCAGTAGCAGTAGCAGTAGCAGTCGCAGTCGCAGTCGCAGCCGCAGCCGCAGCCGCAGCCGCAGCCGCAGGCGCAGGCGCAGTCGCAGTCGCAGTAGCAGTAGTAATAGTAATAGTAGCAGGAGAAGTAGAAAAAGTAGTAGTAGTAGTAGTAGTAGTAGTAGTAGTAGTAGTAGTAGTAGTAGTAGTAGTAGTAGTAGTAGTAGTAGTAGTAGTAGTCGTAGGCTTTGTTGTGCAAGCCTTCACCTCAACAGAAGCAACACCGAAGCAACATGCCACATGCATCGGTGGCCAAAATCCCATCAAGAAGCACTGGAATCGCGTGCAAAGCTGAGCAAGACCCGGTGGCGGGAAGAGACGTAGCGGTGGTAGTGATGATGGCATATGGAAAATTCTCTAAATTAGGGTCCCTTTTAGGTCTCTAAAATTGTATGGAACCCGTGCAAAAAGGAACCCCAAAGGGATTCTACTTCAGAGAACCACCCATACGCTTCTGGGCAGGGACTTGCAAGTTTCTAGGCGCAGGGCCTGCAAGCGTGAAGTCTAACCCCAACCACAGCAACTTAACACCAAGAACCCTAAACCCAAAATCCTAAACCCTAAGAGCTGCACCCTTCCGAGGAGCCCGAAGTCTTGTGGAGACGGTGGCTGTGAAGTGACGGAGACGACCATTGCGGATAAGTGTGGGCCAGGACTCGAGGGTCCAAAGTCTGGGTAGGAAGGCATTCGTTGAGTTACGGTTGATGATACAAATCCTGCATTACCTTAAGGACCCTAAACTATGGGAATTATGGTATATTCCTTATTATGGGTCATGCAGGATTTCTAACATCAACCGTAGGATACAGCGTGAGGACCCTTGGGAGATTTCGGTTCAGGGATGAGTCTCGGGATGAATGTTCGGGACTAGGTTTAGGAGCTATACTACTGTACTGCCATACTACTATACTACTATACTTCTATACTACTGTACTATACTACCATACTACTAGACTACTGTACTACTAGACTCAAGGGGGCCCTTTTGGGCGAAGAGTGACATGGGACCAGTCTGAACTTTCTTTGGATCCAGTTTTTGGAGAAGAGAGTCACCCTAAACACTTACAGTCAGTACAGAGCACGATGATTCGAGATTTTTGTCCGATGATTTTGGTTTCTCTCTACACCCTAGACTCTTGGCCTTTTGAAGCCTACACCCACACCTCCAAAACCCACACCCGAAGCCTTCTCTCTGTGTAGCTGGGCTTCGAACGAGCGCTTGAGGCGCGCCTCCATTTACAAACCCCTGTAACGATGCAGCAGTTGCGTGCTTGGCAGCTGTCACAACAAGTGTATTTTATGTTCACTTGGTCTCCCAGCCGGCCCTTGTTCCCTCTTCAGTGGCCTTAAGTTCCTTATCAAAGTACCCAATACCGAAAAGGGAGCCCTTTTATTCCTAGGTTACAGGGGGTTTCGAATGCGCTCGGGAAGTCCCCAGCATGCAACAGCTAGTAACCTTGGGCTACACTGGCTGTGCGCTTTTGAGCTATCTGCGTACTATAGAAGCCTAAATATTTACCGATAGTATTCCAGAGTTTCTTGTTATCGGACACTTTAAAGGAGCACAAACCCGATTCCAATTAGTAAGGCCCCTACATTACCCAGCCTCAGAAGTTCTGGTTCACGAAACATGGGGTTTGTGGTTCGCTGGCCCTGCAAGCAGGAAGCAAACTGGACTCCAGCAATCCTGCTCCTACGCTCATGCTCACAGGCATCTCAGGCAACAGCCACAGTGTAAGCCTAAACCCTAAACCCTGAACACCGAGCACTCGTAGCAATACGAGTGGTGACTCCAAGCTAAGCTGTAAAGGAAATCTTATATAAACCTCTGCAGTTCCTAAACTTCCCAGCCTCCCCAAAACCGTAAAACGCGAAAACCCTGAAGCCCCAAGGGGAAAGAGTTCAAAACAACACCTTAAGTCCCAAAACCCCAAAACCCTCCAGATACCCTAAACCCTAAACCCCCAGATACCCTAAACCCTAAACCCCAGATCCCCAAAACAGGAGAGCCGCCGGTGCTATGGCCCGATACCGAGGATGAAGAGCCCATGGGCTGGTCTGAGGAGCCCTGACATGTCTAACAAAGGGTTTGGGGGCTTAGGGGTTTAGGGGAAGTCTAGGGGTTCAGGGTTTAGGGATTTAGAGTTTAGGGGTTTAGGGGGTTAGAGTTTAGGGTTTTAGGGGTTTCGGCAGGTTTAGGCAGGTTTAGGGGTTTAGGGTTTAGGGTTTCAGGGGTCTAGGCGGGTTAGGGGGGTTCAGAGTTTAGGGTTTTAGGCGTTTAAGCGGGTTTAAAGGTTCTATTATAGGTTACGCGAGAGGTTCGCACAAGGGTTATGTTGATATTTCTTAAGGGTTACCATTAGGGTTTCGTTAGCCATCAGGGTTTGAAACTTGGGTTACTACACGGGTTGTATTAAAGGTTACTGTTTTGGTGTAAGGTTTGAAGTGTAGGGCATACGGTTCAGTGTTAGGGTTTGCACTTTCCGGCTACAAGGGCTTCCGGCGTGGGATTTAGGGTCTGGACTTTAGTGCTTACGATCCAAGGTTTGGGATTTAGGGTTCAGGGTTTACATAAGGCTAGGTTTTAGAGGTGGGCTCCGGGGTGTAGAGCGATGTTGATGAGAAAGATGATGAGAGGGCGTTATGAAGAGCAAACCGGAGCTCTCAGTTCTGCACGGTATGTCACCCTAAACCCTAAACCCTAAACCCTAAACCCTAAACCCTGGTATGTCTACTTTCTATAGATGCTCCCAGCTCAAGCCCTCGGCCTCCCCGAAAGTTTAGGGTTTGGGGATTAGGGGTTTAGGGTTTAGGGGTTTAGGGTTTAGGGTTTAGGGGTTTAGGGGTTTAGGGTTTAGGGGTTTAGGGGTTTAGGGGTTTAGGGTTTAGGGGTTTAGGGGTTTAGGGTTTAGGGGTTTGGGGGGTTTAGGCCCACAACCTAAATCCAAAACCCTACGCTCTGACTCGAAACCCATGGGCCTCAAACCCTACCCCAAACCCGAAACTGTAGGTAGAAATCCGCAGGCGCCCTCTGCATCGGGAACCCTTGGGCCACCAACCGATGAGACGGAGAGCTGGAAAGGTGCGAAGAGTTGTGTGTTCTTAGGGTTTAGATGGTGATCATTATTCGTGGTTTCGGGTTTGTCCCTTTTTCGAGCTTTTCAAGCAGTCTCAGCCCCAAATGGGACTTTCCGAAAATAGGGGCACCTTATTTTGGAGTCCTTATATTAAGGATCCTATTATTTAGGGTACTGTATTAGGGTCCCTTATTTTCGGAAACTCCCAAATGGGCGATCCGGAGGCGTCCCGGTCATGGGCCTTTGGCTCTCTCCGCTGCCCTCTAAAGAGGGCCCAGTTGCGGAATCCAGTCTCGCCGGGGCCTCGGTGGGGCGCTGAAATCTGGAGAGGGGAGTTGTTGAGGGTCTAGGGCTCAGGCTTTAGGGTTTAGGGATATGGGCTTCAGGGTATGGGGCTTAGGGTTTAGGGTTTAATTTAGTGTTCAGGGTTTAGGGCTCAGGCTTTAAGGTTTAGGGATATGGACTTCATAATTGTCTTATAGTTGTTTGATATAGGGTTTCTGGGACTCAGTTCTGCATAGTTCAAACTGGGGCTCCTTGATGCAAACCATCTTATCCCTAGACCCTTAAACCCCTGGACCCCCTAAACCCCTAAACCCCCAAACCTAAAACCCCACAGAGAAGGGAAGCAGCCCCGGCTACGGGCCAACGTCTTTTCCCTAAGCCGAACCCCAAACCTCAGACTCTAAACCCCACTCTATGCTGGGAGGCCGTCAAGGGAGGAAGGTGATTTGTGAGAGAGGGCTTTTCAGTGCAGCCTTCTGCAGGCTGCTTGCTCGCCCTTTGGAGTGAAAGCTCATTGCACGAAACAGAAACCCGAAAGCCCAAGCTCCAAATCCAGAAACCCGAAACCCTAAGCTCCAAACCCTGGACTCCTTAATCCCTAAGCTTTAACACCCTAAGATCCTAACCTCAAACTTGATGTCCTCCCCAAACCTTAAACTTTTAAACCCTAAAACCCCAACCGCAAACTTGATGTCCGAAACCATGAGCATCAATTCTGCAACCTTCGCTGCTGGAATCCATCAGTCCCGAACCTTTTCGTCTTAAACCCATGGTGGCTCAACAGCACCGGGGGTTGGGGGGTTTAGGACTTTGTGGGTTTAGCATTTTAGGGGTTTAGGTGCTTCATGGCCGCAGAAGAAGCCGGAAACTGTAGGTTTAAGGCCTCGGGTCAAGCTGCCATGGGTAGTTCCCTGAATTATTGTCGCTGGTAGGGCCAAGGGCGCCGTACTATTTTGGGGTCCTAAAAAATCCGAAACCCCGAACCCTAAACCCCTAAACCCTAAGCCCCATTCGGAGCTTGTTTCACGAGCTTCACTGAGCAGCAAACGGCAGGACGAGGCGCCGAGCGAGGATCACGATGTCTCCGGCAAAGTGAAGGCAGCGCAGGGTTAGGGGTTCAGAGTTTAGGCTGCAGGGTTTAGGAAGTTTAGGGTCTAGGAAGTTTAGGCTTTGGGGTTTAGGGGGCTTAGGGTTTAGGGTCTAGGACGTTTAGGGTTTGGGTTCAGCGTCTTCCAGGGTCGCGGCGGTTGCTTCTGACAATTGGCATTAAAATGCCTGAGATTCCATGAATGCTGTAAGTTCCCCTTCTTGACTCGTACGGTTTTACTTATTATCACATTTTTTGTCACGGCTATTTGTCATTATTCAAACTGTTACTCTCGCTGTTTATGCGGAAGGGGGAAGTGGTGGAGATAGCACCTCCAAAGCTTTGGATCGCAAGATCGGAGTTCCTGAATCTTTTCAAGAGCATTTACAGTAAGTTTATGTAACCCTTACAGCACCGTGAAAGAACTCTTCGAGAACTCCCTCAACCCGAAACCCCAACCCAGACCCCGATGAAACCCTTACAGAACCTCGCTTTTGCTTCGATGCTTCAGCGTTCCCCACGGATGGGCGACGGGCTTAGGTTTCAGAAAAGGGTTCCTTGAAAAAATCCTTTATACTTGAAATGGTTCCTTGAGAGCCTTGGGTTTAGGGTTTAGGAGCTAGGGTCAGGGTTTAGGGTAAAGCTGCTGGGACTTAGGGCTTCTGGTCTCAGGGTTTAGAATGAAGCTGCGTTCACGGTTGTCTAGGCCTTCAGGGAACTGAGCAGCCATGTACCTGAAAGAATGCGGCTCCCCCAGGACTTTAGGAGAAGCCCTGCACATGCATGTCTGTGTGTACAAACACCGTAACGTCAATTGAGGATCGCACCTGCTCGCCGCAAACCCAGTTGTCCAGGTCCTGAGCACTAAACCCTAGGCCTTAAACTTTAAAATCCCCAAATGCTGAACCCGATGCCCTAAGCCCCCAAAGCCCTGAACCCTAAAGCCCATCAAACGAGCCAAGCTCCAAATCCTAGATCAAAGCTGCCCTGAAGGTGAAGCTCGCAAGTGCAGTCCCAGTGCCACATGCGAAACCCACTGCGATTCCTTCTTTGCCCGAAGCTCAGGGGTGCAGGGCTTCAGGGGTGAGGGCTTTGGGTTTTGGGCTGAGGTAACATAGAAGCCTAGATAATTACGAATACCATAATATACTATAACAACACTCAAATTGTCAAGGCCCTGATATTACCATTTTCCCTCTTGGGGTTGAGAGCACCGTGGAGTGGCTTCAGCGGGGCTGCTTGAGGACTATTATCGTCGTGATGGTATTCGTCTTCATCCAAGTAGCAGTAGTAGTAGTAGTAGTAGTAGTAGTAGTCGTCGTCGTCGTCGTCGTCGTCGTCGTCGTCGTCGTCGCATGCAGTCGTAGTGGAGTTGTCGCAGTCGTTGTAGTCGTAGTCGGAGTCGCGGTCGCAGCCCTAGTCGTAGTGGCAGAGTCGTTGTCGTCGTCGCAGTTGTAGTCGTCGTTGTCGTCATCGTCGTCGTCGAAGCAGTAGGACTCAGTAGGAGCAGTAGGACCTCAGTAGGAGCAGTAGGAGGAAGAGTAGGAAGAAGAGGAGGAGGGGGACGAGAGCAGCAAGAGAAGCAGCCAGCGCAACATCTCAACTGCCGCTGCAGCAAAACCCCCAGGGTTTAGCATCACCTGATACTCCATAGTTCGGGACCCAAAAAGCACATGCCCCTAAGCGTTTATGAGAACATCCCTACCTTATTGGGCTTCATTATAAGGGAATATCCCTATCCGTTTTGGGGCCCTACATGCTCAGCCCAAACTTTATGGTGTCAGCGTCAGTTCGACAGAAAGGCGAAACTACCATAGGGGCCTAAATAATCACCTATACTATCGTGGGGCTTGCTTATTGCTTATTAACCATAGTACAGTATACCCCAAAACCCTATTCTAATTATAAAAGCCACTGCAATAGCCGCTTGCCGAGGCTGCCTCTCTTGAGTGCGCAGTCCGCGGCGAGGTGCATTCTGCCAATTGGCCCCTCCCTGACTAACGCTATTCAACTGTTAATGTGAACGAGTGTCATAATTACAATGATGTTCTTTATTCGTACTATTTGGGCTTCTTAGCCGTGATAGTTCCGTGGTTACTGTAGCTATTATCGGCACTGTTAACGCGTCAAGGACCTTCCTGGAATCCGCTTTCGAACGGCTATGCACCTGAATTTGTGTTTGCACTCGTCCTTGCATTCGCGCTGCCCCTGACAGTCAGACCCTAGACCTGAAACCCTAAACCTTCTCGGAATAATTGGGTAGTTCTCTAAATTAGGGTCGGGTCCCTTTTAGGCTCGTTTCTATATGGCTGCCGTACTATTTGGGGGACTTAGAGAGGGACCCTACTTTAGTCTTGACACACTGGCATTGATGGTACGTACTTGTTGTTTAGTTCCGCGTTTTGTTTGCAACTGCTATTTCAGTCCTTTACGTCCCTTCTATACTCCGTGCTGGAACTTGAAGTTTCCTCGCATTAAATTTCTGGAAGCCTGTGCACCCATGACCCATCACAAAGCTAAACCCCAAACCATACGCCCTAAACCTGCTAAACCTGAAGACACGCGAGGAGCACCGTCGGCCAAAAGTATTGTGGCGCCAAGCGCCTCGGTTTAGAGTTTAGGGATGGCAATCTTCCTTTGCGAAGGTCAGTTTCGATCTCGTTTTCTACCCTTGAAAGCCCAAGGGTACGCTATCCCCAAGAGTAAAAGGTTACTTTCTGGGAACCCCAGGATGTGATCCGGAACCTTGCCAAAGCCTACAAGACATCGAACCGCATCCTAATGTAGGAACCTGATTAAGAAACCCTGGGCCAATAACGCCAAAACAGTATAGGATTCATATAAGAACCCTAATAAAGGCACAAGGTTTCGTAATCAGGTTCCTAAATTAGAGCCTCACACGAGAACTGGGCTTTCACGGCCTTGAATCCCTTTTGCTGCAGCTGCAGTACCCCAATGAGGTATTGTTTGCAAATGGTAGTTTTCATGGATACTGTTGATGGACAAAATCCTGCATGACCCATTATAGGGAATCTACCATAGTTCCCATAGTTTAGACTCCTTAGGGTCATGCAGGATTTTGTCCATCAGCAGTACCAAAGGGTCCCTGACATGACTACCTCAGTCAGTTTTTGAGGCCCATACCGTAGTCGAGTGCCTACTAAACCCTTAGCTTTCACGCCCAAACCCAAGACCCTATAAAACCTCAGAAAGAAGCCATTGCACTTAAAAAAAATAAAACCTAAACCCTTAACTTGAAGCACCCCTAAGTCCCATGTAGAACCCGTACTACTAGCCCGGATCGACTGATAGACCCGTTACAGATCCCTTGAGGCCTGAATGTAGAAGCCTTACTAGTAATCTTATAGACCCGTTATAGATCCCTCAAAGTCTGAACCCCAAAAAAGCTGATCCCATATCGAACCCCTACTAGTAACCCGTATGGACCCCTTATAGAACCCTTATAGATCCCTTAAAGCCTGAACCCCCAACAATCGGATCTTGAGCCGAAGGTCTGAACTGGTCCTTGCCACGAGCCCACAGGCGATGACGCCGATGCCGGAGTCTGAGCGAAAAGTTTCGTTAGATGTCAGGGCTTTAGGGATACTTGGGGTTTAGGGTTTATGGTTTAGGGTTTAGGGTTCCGGGTTCAGGGATGTTTGGGGTTTAGGGTTTAGGGCTTCTTGAGATGTTACATAAAATCTTGTGAGGGTTCTGCAAGGGTTCCAAAAGTTTTCTGTAGAGCCTTTCTATCATATAGGGGACTATTCGAGTTCTAGTCGGGTTCTAACAAGGCATCCATAACTGTTCTGCAGGTGTTCTATGAGGGATTTAGGGCCAGGGTATACGGACTTTGGATTTTGGGCCCGCTGTAGGGGGCTCGGGGTTTAGGATTTGGATTGTACTCACACATTCGCTCACACGCTTACTTGCTTCGTTCATTGCTTGCTTACTTACTTACTTCCTTGCTTCGTCACTTCCTTATGTGCTTCCCTTCTTGCTTAGTTACCTACCTACTTGCCTACCCACTTACCCAGTTAATGGCTGCCATGACCGCTCCTCACAGCATTCGCGCCACTCGGACGAGGACGGCTGTTCTGCTGCCATGAGGGCCACTGAGAATGACACGGCTAGCGAAGAATGGCAACAGAAGTTGCGCTGCAAAGGTGTTGCCGTTGCATTTTTTGGCAAAGCAACCTTCCAGCGCGCTCACCCTTCCCTGCCTAAACCCGAAAGCCCTAAACCCTAACCCCTACAGCCCTAAACCCTAAACCCTAAACCCCTAAACCCTAAACCCTAAACCCTAAACCCCTAAACCCTAACCCCTAAACCCCTAAACCCTAAGCCCTAAACCCTAAACCCCTAAACCCCTAAACCCTAAACCCCTAAACCCCTAAACCCGAAAGCCCTAAACCCTAACCCCTACAGCCCTAAAGGCCTAAACCCTAAAGCTCCTCAGCGCCAAACCCCAAACCCCAGATCTAAGCATCGCTTGCGCACAGGTCTTCCGCTGGCACAGAGCGGTCCAATCGAGCTTCTGCCCTGGGCGCAAGTCCCATTGGATCGGCTCCTCAATCTCCTGCGCCCTTGCAGAGTTTAGTTTTGGAGGGTTAGGGTTTAGGTTTTAGGGGTTTAGGGTTGAGGGGTTTAGGGGTTTAGGGTTTAGGTTGGAGAGTTAGGGCTTAAGGCGTTGAAGTTTGTGGGTTGTTTCAAGTTAATCTTCCTGCAGCCATGATATTTCGAGGCGATCCCTGATTTTCGTGATTAACGCGAGCGTACATGTTGTCAGAGGTATAGGAGTTGCAAAGCATCGGCAGACACACATCAGCAAAGCTATCCATCCAGCTGTATCTATCTGTGCATTTAACGATCTCTCAGACAGTCAGTATCTGTCTGTCGTTCATGAGTATGGATGTGTACGTGAATATACATAATATGCAGTATGTTTTGTGCATACATACATCATACGTACCTATGTCCGTCGGTCCACCCATACATACAAAGAGGGGTACATGCATGCATGCTGTCTTTCAATGGCAGATCCATCCTTACGTTCATGCATACAAACATGCAGACATACATTCATATGTATATGCATGCATGGCTGTATGTATGTATGTAGGTAGGTAGGTATGCATGTATGTATGCAAAAGTATCTGATGGGTGTGTGTGTGTGTGATGTTGCACGGTGTGAAGTTTGAAGCCATTGTGCTGTGGACGGTCTAACTTGGGTTTGGGGCTTGGAAGCAGCGGCATGCTCAGCCAGTACATCTCAGTTGCAGAAGCCCCGTATCCTGGAGCATCCGAAACCATCCACACCTCAAGCCATACTTGTACACACGGAACCCTCGACTCCCCCCCAAACCTGAATCCCGAGCCTCTTACACCTTAGTGCAGAAGATCTTAGTAGCTGAGTGGATGCACTTTACTTTTTTGGGTCAATATTGCCCACTATAAAACTGAAAGTGTACACTTTTGGGGGCTTATGAACTCAGCAACTAAGAGATCCTTTACGTCACAAGACTGTTCTCCTCCGATCGATCGCATGGTTTGCTGCAGGTAGACGAGGAATCAGTGCCTTGGTGCCGACAGATTATGGCACTACTGCTGATGGACAAAATCCTGCACTACCCATTATAAGGAGTATACCATGAAAGTACCCATAGTCTAGAGACCTTAGGGTAATGTTATAGTTCCCATAGTTTAGAGTCCTTAGGGTCATGCAGGATTTTGTCCATCAGCAGTATGATGCGGACTGCAGAGAATAGCTTTGAGAAGGGAGCCCTTTGGTTGTTTGAGGAATGGCCAGGAACCCTACACCCCAAGGCCTGAAACTTGAAATCCAGACTCCAAAACCCCAAGCCCCGAAACCTACTCCCCGATTCAACAAAAGGTAAGCCCTAGACTTTAGGCCCCAAACCCGAAACCCTCTGCACTGCTTGCGCCGTGCACCTGCCTCAGAGAATGCGTGATATGCCCCTAAACCAATCCTAAGCCCTAAACCCCTAAACCAACCCAAAACACCTATAAACCCTAAACCCGTAAACCAACCCTAAACCCTGAACTGCTAGCTTCCGCTGCAGAGTCTCTTGTACTTGCACTCAGTCAGACCATGGGCCCTCGGCGACAGGCAATAGTTATAGTAGAATATGGGTAGTTCTGGAAATTAGGGTCCTTTTCAGGCTCCATCCTTTAAATTACAGCAGGGTCCCTTTCAGGGTCCATCCTTTAAATTACAGTAGGGTCCCTTTTAGGGTCCATCCTGTAAATTAGGGGCCCTTTTAGGGCCCATCTATTGAATCCTTGAGTCTAGTGACGCAGAGAATGTCTGTTGCGACACATGGACTGCTGACTCAGAAGAGTCATGCTCCCCTAAAGCCTAAGCCCAAGACCCCAAGCCCTCAACTCGAAATCTGACATTTCTCAAAAACCGTAAACCCTAAACCCTAAACCGATGCAGTTGCTGGAACCCGGATCGCCGACTCTGATGTAGGGTTTAGGGTTTAGGGCTCGGGGCTTCAGGTTTTGCGTTTAGGCCTAAAGATGTTGGCTTCCAACTCTGAGAGCAAAGGAGCAGAACCTCTCGGAGAACGAAAGTCAGTTCATGGGGGATGTGACGAAGGACCGTCCTTGAAAGGGCTGCAGGCTTTCAGTTTTGAAGATTTGGGGCGTCAGGGTGTGAGTCTTCGGGTTTGTCTGAGGGGTTACAGGAGGATTTAGGATTCCCACGTTGTGTAGTTTGTATTTAGGGTTAGGGTTCTTCTCGAGCTCAGCTACTTTAGGGGTCCTATCTCAGATTTATGAGTAGCATGATGTTCTGCAGCTAGCATCCGCATGGCGTAAATTTCGTAAGAGCACAGCTGAGAAGAACAGCAGCGGCGATAAGGAAAAAGGGACGATGGCATTACCCAGAGGCTCCATAGTAGTTAGTTCCTTCTTGGGGTTCATACTTAGAATCCTACTAGGTAGTCCCAAAAGGGAACTACCATGGACCCACGCTTATTGATGATGGGAACTGGTAGCTAGTAATTTCTTCGGCTGCTATTCACCGTCACCCTGGGAACACCTCTACGCAGAACTATGCTGGTGGTTCAGCGAGTCCCAGCAGTCCCATTCATTGCTTACAGATGGTCCGGACTCAAACCGCAATTTCGAAAGCAAGGGACCCACGCACCAAGAGCCAATCCCCACCTCCGAAACGATGTAGCCTAAAATGGCACCGCCCTTTTTTCAACTGAAGCAAGTCAGACAAGTTCTCTATAGACTCCTGCAGATTCTGCGAAGGAGATTGAATCCGTATAGATGTCCTAAGCCTTAAACCCGCAAAACCCCATAAACCATTGAAAACACAAGCGCCAATCCCGGAACCTCAACTCCTAATCTGCTAAACTCTAAACCCTAAGACCTTGCCGCAAACCCAACTCCCCTTAAATCCTGAACCCACCTGTTTCCCGGCCAGGTGTCCAGAAAGACACGAGACTCTTGCCCGAATGAGACCACCGCTTCGAGGTTCCGGCTTATCCTTCAGGGTTTACCTACAGTCTCCATTGTAGTTCCTTTTTGGGGTTACCTTATAGGATCCTCGTCATATATTTGGTTAAACCAAAAAAAGGAACTGCAATGGAGACTATAGGTAGGGTTTAGCAGTCGAGACCGTCAGGCATAGGAACAATTTGTCCGGTTTAAATTACATACTGCGCTTCAAGTCAAGTGTTTATGTGGGGGCGCATCTTTACCACTGGCGTTTTTCTATAGTTCGCATTCTGCAACCTAAGCCGTCCTACAGTACATGGCGGTTCATTGGTACTGACCGCGGGGATTGTTTGAGATTTCGATGTCAGTACGGGACGCGGCAAAGTTCAGATGGACTGCAGAGGACATACCGGTGATGTCGTTTTGCAGTCGCAGAGTTAGTAGTTGAAAATCGTAAGTTTTGATGATTGGACATTCAGCCACGGTTTAAATGCGAGAGGGAGGTGTGGCGACACAAACAGCCCGATTGTCAAACCGTAGGCCGTAGGTCACCTGAAAGGAAGGGGCTGGAGAACGAAGGTGAGTGAGCAATCGGGGAAGGCCAAGCAAACCTGAGATTGAAGCAGGAACTGCAAACCCTAAGCCCTAAACCCTAGTTTGCTAAATCTAGTTCTTTCTGCACCTCGTAAGCTTTGAACCGCCTGAAGTTTGAGCCGCAAGCCCTCACCCCTGAAGTTAAAGCCCAAAGCCCTGAACCCTTAATGCTCTGGGTTTGTTGAAGGCGCCCGGTCGCAACTTGCAATATGTACGTCGCTGGCCTGACGAGGTTTGGATGTCTGTCCTAGCCCTAAACCAAACCGGGGTTTAGGGTTTAGGGGTGGGTTCAGGGCTTAGGGGTTTAGGGTTCCGTTGGTTTTGGGGTTTAGGTTTTAGGGGCTTTGGGGCGACAGGGCCAGCTCGACTGGGCTTCAAGAGGAATTAACAAGCTTGTTCTGTTTAGGAGTACGGGGTTTGCTGGCCTTATTTGCCTGGCTTGACCTGCAACTGAGGAGGATGTCACCACCATGATGGTCAGAGGTGTGCCAGCGACGCTCTACTGAACAGCCGTCTGGAAAGTGCAGGGGAACTGGGGGCAGAGTTTGAGGATTAGAGCTTCGCAGAAACATTCCAGTGGCCAAGTCCTCCACCAGGCAGAACTGTACACACTCCAGCCCAGCCTGACAGCCCAAACCCTAAATCCTAAAGCCTAAACCCCAAAATCCCTACTCTGCTTCTGAACCCGAAAAGCTCTTCTGTTTAATAGGAAAGCTTGAATGCTTACGAATACTATACCTTGCGGTTCCTGCTAATCTGTATTTCAGGACCTCATAGTGTTAGCACGCTCTTTGGGGAAGTACAGTATACTGCAACCTTAAACTTTAAACCTATTCTCAGTGTTAAGGCCACCCAAATGGGGTCTGGTGGCAGACCCGAATCCCGAAGCCCGCGGTAGCCTCGAAGGGCCTAAAGCTTACTCCAACAGCCTAAGTAGTTACCAATACTATTTTGGGGGTTCCTGATTTTCACTGTAGTATAAAGGGCCCCAACACCCTGTACTAATCATTAAGGCCTCTATGACACCGAAACCTGAAGCCTTGATCCTTGATTCGTAAAAAAGGAGGCCAAGGCCCCCCCACCCCCCATCCCGTAAACAAAAGCACCTAAACACTACACCTTACGTTATATCCTAACTCAAAAGCTCTTCACCCTAAACCCTACACCAAAACAGCCTACAGTCAAAAACCCCACACCAGAAATCCCTATACCCTAAACCCCAAAAGCCCCAAACCCTGAGCCCCAAACCCTAAACCGTACACCGTGAAATCAAACAACATCTACCTGGGCCTTCCAAAACTCACCGTCAAGCAACTTGAGGGTCCAAGCATATACGATCTCCTAAACTACTATTTGCTTAAGAACCACCCAAAAAATAAAAACAATAATCCCTATATTACCCCCATAAGGTATATATTTTTCATTTTTGGGGATTCTTAAGCAAATAGTAGTAAATCATAAGCATCACTGTTTTGGGCTTTTTTGTAGAAGCCAGAAAGTTGGAACATGAGTATCCTCATGCCTCAAGGTAAAGTATAAGGGATTCCAGCACCAATCCTCCTAAGCCCATGTTCCAACTTTCTGGGATTCGCCATAGGCTCAGACTTTGAGCAAAAGGGATTTATATCGGTAGGGTTTAGGGTTCAGTTGCACGCCCACAAGAGTCCCTCGCAAGCTGGACTTTCTAGGCTGCAGTCCCATCTCAAACATGAGCAACACAAGAGCCTAATAAGTAATTACTAACACTATTCCTCATGGGCATAACTATACAAAATCCTACCTCTATTGGTTAAGGCGCCTAGATTTCGTATCCCAACCTCAAGCCAAACCCGAAGGCTCATGACGCAGCGCGACCTGATAGAGGAGTTGAACGCGCGACTCGCCTACCTTTTCTTCTCCAGGAGTTTTTTGCTTACTGTTCATGGCTTCAGCACACCTTAAACAATCAGGGGGATTTTCGGGGTTGAGATTCAGGTCTCCATGGCTTTGAGGTTTAGGGCTTAGGGCTTACGACAACCCCCTCTCTAACCCTAAATCGTGTCGACTGGCAGTGCCGCGGTGCAACAGAAGTTCTGTAATCGCACAGTGTTTCTTGTTCTAGACTAACCTGTCGATCCACCCGACAAAACCAGAAGAAGCACTATGTCAGCTGTGAGGGAGTGTTTTCCAGGCACACCGAGTGTTCTAGTCTAAACCTGCGTCAAACCGATGCAAAGATGAGGGAAGACAGTGCTAATCTCCCCGCCTGCGCAGAAGGCCGCCTTTTCAATGTCTTGTGCAGCTGAAGGTGCTCAGTTATGGCCAAGCTTAGGGTTTAGGATTTAGCGGTCGAGGACACTTGTGGAAGCAAGCTAAGCAGCGGCAAAGGGCGGCCTTGCGAATTGAACTGGGCACCCACACAAACGGATTATGGTTGATAACTACCCTCGATGGGGTCGTCCTGATGATGATCCTCTCGGCATTACTACCTGTCCACAGAAGTCTGACAACACCCATATGGAAGGCCTGGAGACTCCAAAACCCCTCAGTCAAGGAATACACACCAAAGCCTGTGAGGGATCCTACTATAATTTAAGGTACATTCCTTTACTAAGGGGTTCTGGAAGGTCTGAGCTTCTTAACCTACCAAGCAAGGCTGCGGTGTTCCGGGCCGTACTTGGCATCTGCGAAGGACAGAGGGCCCCAAAACAGGCCCTGAATGGTAGGATCAGCAATATATGGGCCTGGGAGTCAATTCTAAAGATACAGAAATAGCACTCTCCAGGCAAGCCCATAAAGAGGCCCTACACTATACACACCTATCACCTATCTATCTACCGATCTATCCATATGTAGACTGTTACTACTAGCTCTTGGAGCAACCACAACCGCAAGTTTTAGGTCCGGATTCCTGCAGCTCTATGACTTCTGCTACCTGCCGCGGGACTTCAAGTGCTCGGAGAACAAAGGCTGCGATGAAGCCACAGATGTTTCAATATCCTAAGGTTTAGGGTTGCGTGTTTCATCATTGCATTAGGGTTACGAGTTTTCGGATTTGGGGGTTTCATGGTTTCGAGTCCTGTGTTTTTGTGTGATTTAGGCTTGAGAGTTTGGGAGGTTATGACCCCGAAACCCTGAGCCCTTGATCCCGAAAACATGAGCTCTATCGCTTAAAACAGTAGGTGTGGGATCCGCAGGGAAACCGTGCTTGTGGGGCAGTGTTTGGGGCTCTTGGCCTTGCGCTGATGCTCACAAAGTCACTGCTATACAACTTGCAGCAGCAACAACAGCAACAGCAACACCAGGCTTCACGAGCTAGAGCGACAACGCCAATGTCGATAATCACAGAACGAAGTCCGTGTAGTCTGCTTGCCGTCTATATTCTTACGGCGATTTGCTTGTCTTCTCATGTCATCGTTGCTCGTGCACGTGACTATACAGTTTGCGCGCCGTTCGATACGTGTCATCATGTGGAAATCTTCATGTGCTGCCTGTTAGAGTTTCTGTCAGTCTGCAATCGGGCGCATGCCGAGCTTGAGGTTGTTTCGGCAGGTGTTCATCATTACGAGCGTTGCCTCAGGGCAGAGTCAGAGCGCACATGTTTTAACGTCGGCTTGCGCACGGAGACCGGTAGCAGCAGCTGCGAAAGGTGAACTTTGGTTTTCGGCTCAAAGGCAGCAGGCTTTCGAACTTCTTACTGCCTCGCACCTCAGTGGACGCCATGCAGCACCGCACAGAGCACTCCTCCTATGTCATTGCCCGACACCGTCAGCACGGATATCTCGTTCTACGCACAAAGCCGGAGAACGGGAAATGTTCTCTTCCGTGTGGTGTTGTGGATGCCTACCAAGCCAAGTTTACGGGAGTTGACCACGCAACCTTGGCGACCGCGGCACGTGTCCTTTTCGAAACTACCGGTCTGGACTTCAGTGATGAAGCCAGTCGACTTCACCCGATCCGCTTCCCCGCCGCCGTGCAATCCAAGCTTGGCGCGAATCACAGCTTTGTCGAGTTGGAGCTTCGAGATGAAGATTCCCTGCATCTGAAAGGCAACAGTGAGTGTTTAACTTCGCCCAACACGGGCCCGAAGAACTTTTTCTTACAGCTTTCAAACGAGTATACAGATTTTTACTTTGAGCCGGATCGTCGTAAAGCGGCTGCTGCCGTGAGGCGCCAGTCTGGGGGCAAGCCGGCCAAGGCGCTTTGGGGCATGCAGGCTGTGTACAACCCGGACAATTGCTGCTTCGCAGCCATTTGGCGCGCATGCTTTGGCTGAATATGCCTGTTCGGTCGTTCTGTGCACGAGCCACACCGCACCAGAAGCATGTGCCGACGTAAACGAAATCACATTTCTATCAAACTAACAGTAGCCGCAGTAGCTGTGAAACAGGGGACAACACAGACGGCCGGGCAAAGACCAACATGCAGCCAAATGATACAACGGACTTCCATTCAAGCTTTTTCAGAAGCAGTTGTGGATGATGTTTTTGGAATGATTCTGCCACATGCCGGCTGCGGAAAGTCATGAGGACGATAATTCATTTTCAACTGAAAAATCAGTTCGACTATGCTTTGTGCAGTTTTCGCTTGAAGAAAGAGAGACGTGCAAGCAGGTCCCAATCCCCAGACATCATGCTGAGACAACGTATCGCGATAGTTACCTGCAAAACGTTTGGAAAGCCGTGGCTGGCAAGTCCGAGTGCCTGTGCGGCACTGCGTGCGGTCCCAAGCGCGCAATCTTACACTGAGGGCTTGCATGGGGGTGTACCGTATGCACAGGAATGCCAATTTGTGCTTTGTACATCGTTGGTATTTTTTGCGGTGTCATAGCATGCCATGCCCTCAACATGTCCCTGAGATGATCGTGGCAGGTCATCTACCTCTTTACCTTGCGAGGTTGTTCGATGGGAGTATGGTTATGTCAGCCTGTTGCTGGCGCAACATCCCAACTGGACTGATCAGAATAGTAGCAGGACAGTCCTGCCCCAGGCTGAGTGAGGTGTAAAAGTACGTACATGAACCCATCGTTGTAGAAGCAAACCAGCCGCCCTGCAATGGTAGCCACTGATGTTTCGTTGTAAGCCACGCCTCTTGGGCCGAAGCCGGCATGTTTTTTCAAGCTGCTGCTGCTGCTGCTGCAGGCTATGCGTTTGTGAATTTCGTCGCTGCCAAGACCGCTTGCTTATTCCAGAACGCCGGTGCCCCAGGTTTACGGCAAATTTTATTTTGATTCTTCGGGGCCTTGACCCAGCATTGCAGACTTTTGCTCATATACTACCCCGACTATAGTTCTCGCATAGATCCCTTGTGGTACAGTTACAACAGTTTCCTGCTGGAGCCGTAAAGCACCCCGTACTTCGGTTCTTTTCTTTTCTTTTATGAAACATCTGTTGTGCCTCATGGTTCCCTTCTAACCCATGTATTACCTCCATGAACCCTTGGAGTAGCCAGTCGCATGACATACAACACTGACGAGCGACGGCCCACATGATGTAAGATGGAGCAGAGCAAACAGTTTCGGGTTTAGGGTAAGGGTCTAGAGTTTAGGGTTCAGGGTTCAGAGTTCAGGATTTTTCAGACTTCGTAACTAGGGTTCAATTTTGGGTTGTTTCATGATCTCTTGTTGTTGCTTACTCCACCCGCTGCCAGCAACTCCCCAACAATGTGTCAAAAGACTTGGTGGCTGAGCCCTACAAACCTAAACAACAACAGCAGCTTACGAACGTGCTAATCTCCAGGCTTCAAAACGTCAATGCCTTAAGCCCTAAACCCTGAACCCAAGCCAAACACTTGAGCCCAACACCGCGCGTGCAACGCCATCAGCCCTTTAAAAAGCCTTTCCAACATACGGTGAACCGTACTGCAAACGCGTGCTTAAACTCGTTTGCAAAGCCTTCAACAAAACCCAAACCCCAAACCCGCAAACCTCCAAACCCAAGACCCTAAAGCCCTAGACCCTAAACCTATAAACCCTAAAACCCTTAACCCTAAAACCCTAAGCCCTAAAACCCCTGAAGACTTCTGAGCCCAGGCCTGGCACAATCGCGTCCTCACGGATTCCTCGGGCTGCTCTCAGCAAGTGGTCATCGTAAATGCAGCAGTGCAGGCGGGTTCCCTGATCATGGGTTTAGGGTTTAGGTTTAGGGGCTTTAGGGGGTTAGGGTTTAGGTTTAGGGGTTTAGTTGTTTAGGTTTAGGGGTTTAGGGGTTTGGGTTTAAGGGTTTAGGGGTTTAGGGTTCAGGTCTATATGGGGGTTTAGGGGTCTAGGGTTAAGGGTTCAGCAGCTCCGGATCGAGCGTCTCTAGTCGAGCTCGCTGTTTGGATCCTAGAAAAACTACCTGTCCACCCGGGAACCCTCACCTTTTCTTTATTGATCCTAGAGCTTAGATCTTACACCCTAAAAACTACATCCTGAACCCGTGAGCTTAAACTTTAAACCTAAAAGGCGGACTGTCGCAGCGCTTTAACCCTATGATACGACCCCAGAACATCCTTTAAACCCGATGGACAGGGGATCCTGGGCGTGGAACCCTAAACTCTGAACCTTACACTAGCCTTACACCCTGAACGCTAAGCCCTGAATCGAACCGAGGCCCTAAAGCTTAAACCTTGAGCCCTGAACCCTAGACCTTGAACCCCGGGTGCTGGGAACGAAGAATTTTAAAGAAACATATTCAAAGGGCCTGCCTTCGTTGCATATGGTGTTGCCTTCGTGAACATTTGGTGATTTCTTCGTTGAATTTGGCGAAGCAAAACGTCACAGTCAACGAAGAACCATCATATTCAACGGCTGGGCAGGCCTTCGTTGAATTTGGTTTCTATTCGTTTAACTTGGCGAAGAAAACCGTCATATTCAACCGATGGGCCTTCCGTCGTTGAATTTGAATTTTTCTTCGGTGAATATGACTGTTTCTTCGTTGAATATGTTTTCCTCGTCGAGTTTGATGAAAAACACCGGGACAAACCATATTCAACGAATGAATAAAGGTTTAAATGCATGTGATGAAGATCGTTTCGGGTTTGGGGTGTCCTCTGCGCAGACTAAGGAGAATGACAGGAAGCTCTGAACCCTACGACTTCAAACTCCTAAAGTCTAGACCCGGGCCTTAAATCCGAACATGAAGCTACTTCAGGGTTTTTTTTTGTTTTTTTGTTTAGGGTTTTCAGGGTTTAGAGCCTGACCTTTGACTATGGTCTCCTGGACTCGTGCTCATGGTAGGTCGGGTTTTGGATTGCCGTCAAAGAGCGTAAGACAAGAGAGGGCTTTCAAGACCCCATGCCCTCACCGTCGGTTTTGCGCGGTGACAGTCAAGAGCCTTTGTTCGTGCTACTGTGCCCGGAAAGTATCCTGGTTTGGGCTACCGTAGCATAGTACCCTTACAGGAACCTTCTGGAATCCTTTTAGTAGGCGTTTTGGGATGGCAGTTTAGTGACTCTCGCGGAGAGAAAGCCCAATCTCGGGTAATTACCATGCTGTACAGGGCCTGCAGGAGAACATGAAGAAGTGGTGCGGACCTCGCATGTGCCTTTGCCTGCATACCTCAGGAAGCACTCTTCTTGCTGGACGCGACTGCAAGGGTCAACAGGCATATCTGAATCAAATACACTGAAATCTTCAAGCACCAGCAGCACGCCACTACACCATACTTTACTGTGCTCCCCCTGTGCTGCAGCGGTGTGTTTTGTATGATGGAATCCGCACACGGGCGCGCTCGACCCTAAATCCGAAGCCCAAATGCCCAACGTGCCCCAAAAGCCTTGCATCCCTGAGCACTGAACCGGGTGAGTATAGGGGCCTAAATAACTACCAATACTATTTCAGAGAGAACCCTGGTTCTAATCATTGGGGCCCCTATACTGAAGTGGCATCAGGAGCTCTGGGCTTCCCTCAAACCCCAGGCAACGAAGAATCGAACGCCCAGGCGCCGCATTCGAAATCCTGATCTCAAGCCTTTCCTCGCGCCGCACGTCGTGGAGGCCTGGTTTGCCTTTGACGGTTTATCATAGGGACCCTTAAAACGGGGGGGGGGGTAGGGGTAGGGGGCCTTAATGCCCATAATAAGGACCTACCCCCCCTTAAGGGTCTCATTGCGTTTAGAGAGGATCGGGAGACTGCGAGGCTTCGAAGAGTGCGGTGTGGTCTAATCTAGGGGGCCTTACATACAGGATCATGGGACTTAGTAACTAGGGCTATAATTAGGGTAACTATACTTATAACCCCAATTAAGGTACTTATAACCTTACTTACTAAGTCCCATGACCCTCCAAGTAGTAATTACAATAGGGCTTGGGGTAGGAAGGCTGCAAACCCTGGGATTATTTACGTTGATCTCTGAGTTTCCTAGATGTTAGACATGTGTGGTATACTAGAATCATAATAAGGAACCCCCCAGAATAGTATGGGTAATTATTAAAGCCCCTCCATCAGCCAAGTCTAACCCTTCTGAACCCAAAGCCTCAGAGCCCTAAGCCCTAACACCTCAAAGTGCAGAAAGAAGGCTGTGTGTCTTACGGTTTTTGAGTTGCAGGGACCAACACACATAGTTAGAGGGTACTACAACAGCTTACATTCAATGATAGGGGTTCCATGACGGCTACTATACTTGCTACAAGGGCTTACATGTAGTGATAGGGCTTCTATGGCTGCGTGAAGCCTATTGCAAATATGGGGCTTCCATGGGGGCTCTATAAAACCCTAAACCCTGGACCTTAAACCCTAAATTGTAAATCGGGGTCAAGGAACAGCATGTTTTGGAAGTTTCAGGGGTTTAGGTTTTCCGGTTGGCCCAACAGTTGAATGGATACATAAGGCCCTTAATAGGAGCCCTTTTATGGACTGTTGCTGTATCGGGGTAGTACCCAACTTATTGGCCATTTCCAGAGCACCGCACCGTACTTTAGATGTAAAGGCGCGGTGTAAGGTGAGCGGTGTCGTCTGCAGCATGGGTTGCCGCATACTTTGGGGTTGGACCTAGACCCTGACCCCAAAGTCCTGAGCTCTACACTAAGTAATCACTGCAGAAAGCCGGGTGAAAGCGCTCCCTCGAGCTCCCAGGCGATGCTGCCGGAACAATCAATGGATCGGACTCCGACCGCCGGTGGCCAATCCTTGCCGGGTGCCGTGGTTCCTTGGATCAACATGTCTGGGAGTTTCAGAAGCCCTACGCCTCAACCCCTCAACACCAATAAGGAAGAGACCTGTACATAGAATGGTGTTTACATCAGGTCCCTTGGTACCAGACCTTTGAAAAGGAGGCAGATTGAGTCTAGAGAGATCAAGATTTGGGTTTGTAGGGGCTCCGGATATCATGCTAGTTGAAGATAAATTTTAGGGATAGGGGGTTTAGGGATCAGCGATTAGAGGTTCAGAGTTTACGGGGTTAGGGGTTGTGAGAGCTCCCGAAAACAGAAACACTTTGAGGGCCGGGATGCCACTGGGAGGGGCGTTGAGGGAGGGCCCACATTAAGATGGGCAAAATCCTGATTCCTGAACCCCAACGCTAAACTCTAAACCCCAAAGATTGAATGGAAAGATGGAAGGATCACGAAATAAGGCACCCGCCGCCGCAAGAAGTCCTCAATGAATGGTCTGTGCTGAGCCTTCGACCCTGCAGCCTCTAGGAACCCGTTAAAATCCCTATAGCACCATAAATCCTTAAGCAAGCCCCAAAGACAACTTACAGAACTCCCGTAAAGCAAATCATCAACAGTACCACGGAGCTCTAAGTCCTAAACCCTGAAATCCCACACCCGGGTCGTCAGCCTTAAACGGACCATAACTGATCCTTGCAGACAGTACACCCCTACTATAGGGCTTAAATACTTACCTATACTATTTTGGGGGTTCTTCATTGTAACTATAGTATAAGGGGATTCCACAACCCTATTGCAAGTATGAAGGGGCCCCTATATTATAGTACCCTTATAGTAACCCCTTAAGAATCCCGTTAAGTATATTAGGGGACCCTCAGTTACACCCCTAGTCGTCACCCTGAAAGGACCTTGTCGCCTGCAGCCCCACCTCCGATTCGTCGACGAAGTCGCTTGGGAAAGAGATTAGAGATTGATTCTGTTCATGACCCTAGGCATCTAAGGACTCATATATTAAGGTTTTTGGGCCCAAAGACCATATTATACAAGGCTTTTGGGCTATTTTGATGCCCAGGGTGATATAAATCCTGCATTACCTTAAGGACCCTAAACTACCGGAATTATGGTAGATTCCTTGTTATGGGTCATGTAGGATTTATATCATCAACCGTTACTGTAGGGGCCTTAACAACCAGCAGAGGCTCTTGCGAAGGCGTGCCCGCTCATTTTAAGGGTTCCTTTAAAGGGATCCTTAAGGGTTGTTCTAAAGGGATCTATAGGGTTTAGGGTTTAGGATGGGGGCCTTTATGAATACCTATCCTATTTTGGGGCTTCCTTATTATTATAATCAGAGTATAATGGGCCCCAAAGCCCTATTCCAATTATAAAGGCCCCTATATTATAGGGTCCACTGAATTACCACTGCTACGTCTTTGGGGTTCCTTATTTATTTATAGTATGTTATTCCCTTATAGGGGTCACATCACTACAAATACTTACTTTGGGGTTCCTTATTATAGTTGAAGCATAATGTTCCCCGAGCCACGGTTCTAATCAAGGCCCATGTATGCCGGGGATTCGCTACGTTTGTGTGTGTGTGGGGGGTGGGTTCGGGCAGAGCTCATTCTCAAACAGGAGACGGAGTCAACAAACCGCCACGAATCGTGAAGAAGGAGAGACTAAAGACATTCCACGGATGTTCACCGCCGCTGCAGAAAGAGCGACCCTGCCGTACTCTGAAAGCTTCAGTTGAGGTGATCTTGCTCACTTGTGTTTCCAACCTTCTTTCTAGTGGCAGGGATTGGGCACCGTTCATCTTCCCCTACATTGAGACTGCAGTTAAAACATCGCCGTCTCGTTCCGCTTGAAAGGCAAGTGATGCAAGCCATGCGTGCCGGTGCTATTGCGCTGCAGAAGGCCAGCGCCATGGATGCTCTTCAGTATGTTTTCGCTTTGATATGACCACCGAGATGAAATGACTCTTCCATAAACCCTGAATCCGAGGCGGTGAACCCTGAACCCCAACAAACCTTGACGCCCTCAAAGCTAGTGACCTAGAACTAGTGCTTTTTCCTCGAAGAAGCTGACCAAGCATCACCAAGGAGCCATGATGCCTGCTGTCACTCGGCTGGTTCGATGACCTTGAACCATGTCTAACGTCTTAATCTCACAACCCAGACCCCTGGGATGATCTAGAAAGTAGATCCCCTAATTCGGGGCCCTATACTACTAAGGGTACTTTACAGGAACCCCCATTAAGGGATCTACTTTTTGGATCCTCCCGGGGGTCTGCGAAGCCGCTTGCCACAGCCCAGGGAAAGTCGAGATTTGGGTTCTTTCTCGGAGGAGGGAGGACAGAACCGCAACAATGCTAGGAGCCTTCAGCCTAACCTTACCTCTGGTTTTGAGGCCCATTATGCTCTAATTTTAATAAGGAGCCCCAACAATAGCTATTGTAAATCATTTAGGCCCCATATTGGGTTCAGACCTCAAGCACTCTCGGATCTGCTGAAAATCCTGAGGTCAATTACGCCCATGACCATAACCTACAGCGACGGCAGCAGACTTACTCAAAGCCTGAGGTCAACATGGAGCCGGCAGTCTTTCCAAAGTCCGCCCCCGATGCCTCACGGCCGCGAGGCGCGAGAAGTCAGCATGTGGGGGAGCAGTGCTCGGGAGGGAGCTTTGCTCAGAAGGTTCAACGTCTTTTGTATGACTGCTCAGCAAATCGGGTTAAGCTATGACCGCACGGCAGCATGTTGGTAAGATATTTTCGGCTATTAATTCAGTGTTGCGATTGCTAGCTGGGTGTTGGACATGGCAACGAAGACTACGACAAACCGGCGGCATGGGCCATGAAGTATTTACTGGCAGTGACAGCGGTCAAAACCAGAAGAATCGCAATCTTCGTAGGCTAAGCCATGCTAGAGTTGCGGCAGCCTTTGTCGCCAGTAGCGTGACCTCTTGGAGCTTTTAGTAGGATTTAGCGTTCAGGGTTTATAGGCAGCTATCACCTCCATGGGGATCGAAGTGCAAAATCCGGTTCGCTCTGGTAGCAGGCTTCCGATCGGCAATGTGTGGGATATGAGTAGTCGAGTCTTCGCGATGCATCGCAGACCACCCTAAACCCTAAACCTTAACCCTAAACCACTAAACCCTTGACCCTAAACCCTTAAACCCTTAACCCTAGACCCTTAAACCCTAAACCCTTAAGCCCTAAACCCTTAAACCCTTAACCCTAAACCCTTAAACCCTAAACCCTTAACCCTAAACCCTTAAACCCTAAACCCTTAAGCCCTAAACCCTTAAACCCTTCCCAAAGCCGAAGACCTCAACCCCAACTCAACCCCAACCCCAACTCCAAGTCTCTAAGCAGTTCCTTGGGTTGACGAAGTCCCTTGTGTTTTTGGGGGTTCGGGGTTTGGGGTATAGGGTTTAGGGATTTAGGGGTTTAGGGATTTAGGGTTTAGGGATTTAAGGTTCTGGAGTGTAAGGCTTAGGGATTTAGGGTTTAGGGGTTTAGGGTTTAGGGCTCGGGGTTCGGGTTGGAGTTGAGGGTAGGCCGGAAAGTAGGGCAGCTCCTCCCCTGAACCCGACTCTCAGAACTCCGATTCGGATAGTTGTAGTGACCTGTGTGCAGTCAGAAAAAAGAGAGCACCACAAAAATTTGAACCAAGGCCTAAACCCTGAACCCCAACCCTCTAAACCCCAAATAGTGGTACCGGCGTTGCAGCACTGCGCCCCGAAATCAACGAAGCAATATGTGGAGCCACGAAGCCGAACTGGCGAGGCTTATTCATTGTGATCGGCAGCCCGACACCCTAATTGAGGGTTCAGGGTTTTGGGATTTAGGGTTTTGGGGTTTAGGGTTTCGGAGTTTAAAGTTGATTTAGGGTCTGGGGTTTGGGTTTCAGGGTTTAGGGTCGTGAAAGGACCCTCAGCCCTTTCATGCCCGGCGCTCAAGTTGCCCAGGCCTGATTCGGACAGATGACCTGAATCGTCGTTGAGTTGCCGCGGCAAACTTCGTTGGAACTCTCGCGGAAGTCCTTGAAAGACTGTTGGGTGGAGGGCAGAGAGATGTGTGGGCAAACAGGCAAGCTAGCTGAGTGACGTGTGGTATGGACGACACAGGTTTTCCTCTTGATCATGTATTGCTGGCAGCAGTCATAATCTCACCTGGTAATTTATAAATGGGTTGGCCGGCCCACTACCCAAAGTCACAGACTCACGACCATTCTAGCTCAAGTTCTGCCCGTGAGCCTAATCTGCTTTCTTCTCCACGGTCTTCCTGGACGATGGTCTTTGGGGTCAAAGTGTCTTCGAGCCCGTAATGGAGAATCGGAATGTAAGCAGACGTTGGGTGTTCATGTTGATTGGTTCAGTGATCTGGACTATCTTGGCCTGATTGAACGGATAGTGTTCTAAATTAGGGTCCCTTTTCAGGGTCCTTCTTATCAAGGGTGCCGTACTATTTTGAGGATCTACATAGGGACCCGAATTTAGAGAACTCCCCAAATAGTAAGGGACCCTGAGGCACAGCATTGGGATTTTCTTTAGGCTCCTCAATCTGAATCCTTAGGCCTTCCCGAAATCTGAAACGCAGAGCCTAGGCCCTGAACCCGAAATGGGGTTTGGGGTTTAAGGGTTAGAGTTTAGGGTTTAAGGGTTTAAGGGTTAGAGTTTGGGGTTTAAGGGTTTAAGAGTTTAGGGTTTCAGGGTTTAAGGGTTTAGGGTTTCAGGGTTTAAGGGTTTAGGGTTGCGCCCTAAACCGTATACCGCAAGCACTGGTGCCAAAGCGACTTTGGCCCCCTGGGGACCAAGAATGGTAGCTTGCGTGACCTCCGACTATCGAATCTTCAGTTACGGTTTAGGGTTTAGGGTTTAGGGTTTAGGGTTTAGGGTTTAGGGTTTAGGGTTGTATATTGGGTTTAAGGATTCAGGGGTTTGGGTTTCGGTGTTTCGTGGTTAGGGGCTTCGCTGAGGGTTTGGTCGATAGGTTGTCTCACCACGCGCCGTGTAGTGCATTGATGTTCGTTTTCCCCGCTAAGGTTCGCACTTTCAGCAATGCGATGATATCCGTCATGTTAATAATGCTGATGGTGCTGACTATGCTGGTGATGACTAATGACAGTGGTTCGTGACATTCCGATGCAAGTTCCAGGCAACATGGTCATGACGGCCATGGTCATGTTCATGATGAGGACGAGGAGGAAGATGAGGGGGGAAGGGAGGACCTGGATGCCGTCGACGTCGATATTCAAGATTATGCTTCATGCTCTTGCTGGTCATGCGATGTCAGACAATGTGGTATGTGGTCTTGTTGTATTTGAAGGGTTGGCCTCAAGGTTAGTTTACAATCAATGCATCCTTCGGTCCCAACAGCCAGACCCTGCGTGTTTAGATAGGCATCTGAACATCTGTATATATGATGCAAGCCATTTCTCTTCTGCAGAGCTCATGGTCTCAATAGCAACTGTCATGGATCCAGCTTCGGCGGTCATGTGAGATACTGCTCGCTCTCAAAAATGTGGGCATTGCTGAAGCTGAGAAGAGGCGTGCTGCAATGTTCTGTGTGCTCAACAGGCTGATGGCACGAAAAATAGGAGTACAGCTATGTAGGAACTAAATTAGGCTAGAGTTTTGGGGCCATTTTGCTATAATTGTAAGAAGGAGCCCTCTAAAATAGTATTGGAACTTATGAAGGCTATCGTACCCTTACAGACCCCTTTACGGAACCCTTGAGAGGAACCCCCAAAGTAGTATTGGTAATTAAGGAAGTAGGGATCCCACCCAAGGTAGACCGAGGAGGATCCTCATCTCTGCTTCTCAAAGCCCGCTCAGCAGCCCTTAGCACGGATTCGAACTGGAACGGTGCTGGTGGCACCCTTGTTTTTTGCCCCTCGTTTTTTGTTGTTGCTTTGAGGCTGTCTAGCCATGCATGTGCAGGCCGGAAATTCGCACGCCCACGTGCCAGGTTGTATCTATGTCTGCAAGTCGGCGGAATGCTGACGGCAGGGTCTCCCAACGCTCTCAAGGAGCTGTCTATCTCAGCCCTGAGGGCTCAGGCACCAGCAACATATCGCTAAGCCCGAGACCTGTCCCGGAAGCCAGTGCATGAGGAAGTGCCCTGTTCGCAGTGATAGTCCAGGTCAGCCACACTTCCGCCGTTCGAGCACCTCAACTTCAACCAACAAGTTGAAACGGACGTCTGACTGCCGGAATGAGTGGTATCAGGCTCGAAAGAGCAGAAGCATGTCGGTGTATCATACATACACAAACAGAGAACATGTTGAAGAAGTTCCTTTTGGTGCTTGATCCCTGGGGCTAGCAGGGTGAAGCCCAACTGAATTCGAGAAGCTCATCCGCAGCGTATTCGTTTTTTGCATATTCGCTTGCAACGACCTTTCTGACAGCGGCCGCTTGTCTATCGCAGGCCATCGTATATCAGCACAAACAAGGTCACTGGTGACAGCCATGGTGCTTGCATTGCCCGAAACGATGGCGCACGTGCTGTGCAGGTACGCTTGCGCCTCCTGAGATAAAAAAGCGGTCGCGGCTGTTGGATGCTCGGCGGAAACGTACGTTTTCGATGCAGGACTCTAAGAGCACAGGCCTGGAGGTGTCACCAAGCACGCGCATGGTGCAGGGTCACAACCTCTACTCTAAACCCTAAACCCCTGAACCCTTGAACGCCTGAAGCCCCGAACCCCCAAACCTTCCTAAACCCTAAACCCCTAAGCTTCCAGTGTCAATAGCCACTGGAGTGTGCAACGGCCGACTTCGTGACACAGCCGGCGCCTTGCACGCCCTAACGGTCACAGACCGCAATGAATAGTTCCATGGCCGAAAATTTCGCGGCTGGAGCCATAGTTATACTTACTGCAATGTTGAACAGATCCATGGATCCCTTCGTACTTCTTGTATGGCCTTATGGTTCCTATAGAGTTGCCCGGCATAAAGAT